TCCGACATTCGCGCTCGTTTCCCAGATTTTCAGTTTTGATGTACATATTCTGTATCTTATGTACATAAGTTCATGTATCGCAGTCATGTTTTGAATTTCCGAGGACGGAAATTTTGTAAGGAGGGAGGATTGTAATATTCCGATAATTTAACGGTATAAATTACGTTTAATTCCGATATAATAATGTTATCGTTTATTATTTTCGGAATTAATTAAGTTCAGTCGGGATTACCGGAATCTATTTTCGACATATCGTTTACGTCCGAAATAATTTTGGTAATTAAGTATTATGTTTAATTAAATAATTAAACATCTATTGAGTGATTAATTTAATTAATCACCATAAGGAGTTAATTAGCCGTGACCTAAAGGTTTAAGTGTCATGACATAAGAAATATTTCTCCCTTTTAGTAACTAAATGCCGTTAGATATATATATGGTAAATTAGTTCAATCCTATGCTTAAGCCGTAGGGGGATTGAAAGTTTGGTTCCATTTCAATTAATTGCATTAAAACCGAACCTTTCTTAGCATGAGGAAACTTTTCTCCCTTTTCTAGTAATGCCACTTGTCAAGTAAAGGGGGGGATTAGTCATCAAAGGACTCATGAGATTCCAACAAGTGTTAAAGCCTAAAGAAGCCACACTACACCTATGTCACCACCATCTTTCCCCCATCGTCACTATATACAAGCTTTAGAAGACAAAATTTTCTCCACCTTTTCTTAGAGATTTATTCAGCAAACTACCTTCCCATCTATTGCATACTATCAGCAAGTAAGAAAGCCAAGTTCTCCCTATACCAAGCACGGCAAGAGACAAACATACGCACCGCACGGTTCGCCGGAAGCTCCGTTCAGCTTGTAATTCCTTTGCGCACTTAAGAAGGTAAAGTGTTATGGACACCTTTTTCCTGTTAATGGGACTATTTAAGGATGAATAGTTCGGTGCATAGGCAAGGATTTCTTAGTTATGACGTAAGAAGGCTCGGTTTAGGCCATTTAGGCCAAGACCGAATTACGTTTATTTCAGTCCGACAAATTCTGAACAATTATAGTTCAATTAACCTTTATTCAGTTCCTCATGTTCAGTAAGTTCAGTTTTTTCAAGTAAAGTTGAAGTATTGTCGATGTCATGGCCCCAGCCGACACCCGCGCCTATCGCGCGTAGCCTCGGGTGGCTTCGGGCCGAAAGTTGTTGCCCTCAGTATAACCATATTATCCGTGTGATTAAGTCCAAAAATTGTTCAGATAAATGTTCGTATTTAGTTGATCTGAAGTTGTTGGTTAATGTGTTATTTCGGCCGAG